GACTTTTCTTTCCCCCTGGAGTTGCTGGGGCACCCGAGTTATTTCTTATTACTAATAAAGTAGAGATGGCTTCAAACAATTCACTCCTGCTAGGTTAGAAGATGTTAAAAATAGACTCTCAAGTTCCTTCTATAAAATGTCAAGCTCACACACTTGCATTCCGAAATCCTTCCTCGGCCGGGAAGGACGAGGTGCCGCTGTCTCGCCCGCGAGCCTCGATCTGTATGCAAACCCGGGTGCACCTGCGTCTGGGGCCAGACCCGCCAAGGGTGTGGCAGGGATCAGGGGCTGGGAAGCACTGCTCTAGAGTATAACACCCTAATTTTCGTTCTGGATCGATCCCTGTCGTGTAACCCATCTAAAGTGCCTGCCTTTATTACTTAGTGCCTGGCATCCCTTCCATCGTTTGATTCGTGAGAATGCCAAGCCCTCTATAAGGCTTGTATGCACCACAGGGAAATACACACACACACACACACACACACACACACAGACACACACACGACTTCATTTTGAGAGAGAAGGCTACAGAGGATACTCCGAGTTTTATGCTGCAGCTGCAGGAGGCCGTGTGCTGTCTCTGTTCTCATCCTTCTTCCGTGCTTGGCAGACGACCGCACGGTGGAAAGGTCATGCATGTTCGTCCTCTGGAAACATGGCCTTAAATTCCAGCTCTGTTACTCACTCACTAGAGGACCCTGATCCTGGCCTTGAGTTTGAGGTCTTTAACTCCTTAGTAGACAGACTGTGATGACTTTCAGAGTGGTCACGAGGCTAACAGGAAATACTGAGAGTTTTATACCCAGTTTTCTTACTGGTTGCTGAGCTGTGCATTTCATATTCAGTCTGCAGTAAGAAGGGCAGGGACTGTCACCTCCATGTTAGTGCAGTGGAAAGTAAGTCTTAGGGATGCCCGGTGACCCGTCTGGGGCAGAGCTGGGATTAGACCTAGACCCCAGCCTCGGGCTTGGCCCTGTACCTGGTGGAGCAACCTTGCACTGCTCTCCTCCTGGGAACAGCCACAGGGCTTAGGGATGGGAGAGAAAAAGTCCCAGAGCAGGGTGGTCCAGTCAACATCACAGGAAATCTGCCTTGAACCCCTGCCCTTGAATAGGGCACTGGCTTTCTGGTTGCCATTGCTTTCTTTTAAAGCAATATAGCATTTCTGGGTACAGAAGCCACCCAGAAATCTCCAAATCAGTGTGACCTTGAAGTCAGAAATAACCACATTACCTCCCATCCCGCTGCCCCACCGCCCCGCCCCCGGTGCTTGGACACCCTCCTAGGAGCGTGGATTGCTCTCACAGGGTCCTAGATTTTTTACTTTGGGGTTCTCCTCTGTCACTCAGGAGCTGACTTTTTCAGCTCAGTGACCTTGAGTCTGACCTGCTATCCGGAAGCAGCTATGACTACAAGTGTAAATTCTAGTGGAGGCTTTGAGCGTCGGGATAAAAAGGGGCTTCTAGCAGTTTTGACATAGAACTCGTGGCTGGTCCTGAGGGTCTACAGCAAAGGCCCTAGCCCCTCGCTGAGAGGTCCTGTGGCTTGTCTCTGGCTGCTGTTGCTGTCCTGAAGCTTAAAGCCCCTGCTGGCAATGTCTCCACAATGGTGGCCCGTTGCCTCTGCCTGGGTCCAGAAGGAATTCCCCACCCTGACTGTCAGCGTCCCAGGGCCTGGGCAGATGCACAGGGAGGAGTGGGAGGCAACGTTATGAGCACAGGCCTGAGAGTCAGGAGGATCTACCTTCTCCAGTGCTGCTGGCTTTGCAACATGTCCCTGCGCACAGTTAATCTCCCCTTGGAGTTGAGATGGTAATGGGATGAGCCGCAGGGGCTGGTGCAGTTGGAATGAGAGGATGCATGTGAACTCCATGAAGGAAGGACTTGGTTTCTCTTTCTGTGGCCCCATCTGTTATACGGAACAGCTCTAAATGGCCGAACAAAGGTGGAACATGGCGCCCGGAAGACCACAACGTTAGCCCCGTCAACTCCACCACCACTGTTACGCCCCCTCCTGCCACCGGAAAAATATGTATCTGACCTGCAGATGCGGAAGGGCCCACGGCCCTGGCTCGTGGCCCGCAAGTGCTGTTTGAGTGAGGGTGGTCAGTGGGAAGACTGGCGGACTCCTGGTGGGCACGAGGATGGAGGACACAGTGTGTCCACTGTGGTGTCTTGTTAAGCAGAGTCAGCGTGTGGCCATTTGGAAGCTGCCACGTGTTCTTTGGGTTCACTCGTTTCCCCTACATATGAAAGTAATTTAAAAAATGAAAGAGCTTCCAGCGATGAAGGGTTTCCTTTCTCGTTTCTTGTCTGCCAGCCCACCAGCCCATGGCGGGGTGCATTGGGCCAGCGTTGGGGTGACTGGTTGATTCCAAGAATGACAGGCTGCTGGGGAATCAGGTCAGCAGGGGGGCACCAGCAGGAAGAGGAAAGAGAGGGGAGGGGACAAAGGGACGAATGTCTGTGGAGCCCACGAGGCTGCCCCCTGAGGCTGCAGCTGGTCACAGAATTTATCTCCATGAACTTCAGAGCAGCCAGAGACTGCTGACCTCTGTCCGGCTGGCATCTGTGACGTGTGGGCTGCAAAGGTACTGGGTCCCCAGCTCCAGGACACGGCTGCGACCTTAGCCTGAGCCTTCCTGACCCTTATGAGGCTCAAGGCTTTTCATGGGCCTTACACCTGAAGATGTGCTAAGATGTCGGATTCGGTATGGTGTTGTAGAAAATGGCTCTGGAAAGCCTGGTTCTAGGCCTAGCTCTACGGTAATTAGCTATGTCCTTGGGTACGTCCTCTTGACCAGCTAGTGTCCTCACATATACACTCATCTAGGGAGAGATATGGCTGCTCTCCAGGATGGTTTTTTTTTTTTTTTAAGATTTATTTATTTGAGAGGAAAAGTGGGGTGGGCTAGAGGGAGAAGGAAAGAATCCCAAGCAGACTCCCCACTGAGCATGGAGCCCAAAGTAGGGCTTGATCCCACGGCCTTGGGCTCAATCCCATGACCCCGAGATCATGATCTGAGCTGAAACCAAGAGTCGGACGTCCAAGCGACTGAGCCACCCAGACGCGCCCCCCCCCAGGATCTGTTCCCATTCAAATATTGCAGTTCTACCTCTTCCCACCTGAATAATGATCAGAGCAGGTATCATTTACTGCTGGCTCGTTAGGTTCCAGGTTCTATGCGAAGTAGAGCGCATGAGATATCTCATCAGGCCCTTGCGAGCACTCTCCGGGGTACATGCTATTATTACTCCTATTATACAAAGGAGGGACCCGAGCACCCCAGAGGCTCACGGTGCTGGTGCTGGTGTTAGTCACCGTGCTCGACTTTATACAGAGCTCTCTGTTCTTGAGCTGCAAAGTGCTATTCATCTTACGGCCTAAATGGCTTTTCTTATTGTTTCCTTTCTCGCTACGTGTTCTCTGGTGGGAGCCACAGAGAAAGTCAAGAGCCGGCTTCTTCCTGGGCTCTGGGGAGGCAGTTAGGCGTGAGTGCCAGACCGCTGGAGTGGAGCCCACGCAGCTGGCGTTCTCCAAACGGAACCGAGGCCCGAGGAGCCGGAGGGAGGGAGGCACAGACCCTACCACCAACCAACATTTGTGTAGATGGAGGTTACTAATCTGGACGCAGCAGGCTTGAGCGTGAGGCCGGCCACCTCCTGGGCGTCATTGCTGGTCAAGTCCTGTGACTTCTTTAGGTCTCAGTGTCTCCTTTGCACAATTTAGATAACTGATATACCTTATAGTGTATTGAGAGGGACGTTCAGAACAGAACTCTGTGAAGCCTTCTGAATGTCACTTCTCCAGGCCCGGGCAGAGGGTTTGGACCAAGCACAGGATCTGACAAATCTTTGCTCTGGCTCAAGGCCGGGGGCGGCGCCCTCATTGTCGGGTATTACCCACCTAACTTGTTGTATTGGAGAATATTAATCAATGCCTAACGGGTCTTGGGGATGAAAAGGGCCTCTGGAAATGCAGCCCAAGGCTGGAGCAGAAATGGTCTGCTAGCAAACGCTACTGAAGAAGACATTACGAATCATATTGTGCCTTTCCACTCGGATCTAGCCACTTAAGGAACTGCATCCAGGGGCCCCCAGGACCTCCTCCTGGGTGCAGGAGTTGGGGTTCTGCTTCCTTAATTCCTCGAAAACCCAAAGGAAAAGTACAAATGAATAACAAGGTAGAATGACATGAAAGCCCATTCCTTCCCTTTGAGAGCAGCTGCCCACCCCCCACGCCACTAGCTGATAATGGCCACCCCTCATCAAATATTTATCCCAGCCCTTGCAGTCCTCCATCAGCCTCCAGCATCGTGCCAGGGATGGAATTTGATTATTAAAAATGGTCAGGAGTGAGGCCGGTAGACTACAAAGTGCCTGGGATGGAAAGGGGGGGGGACATCAAAGCCCCATATTCTTCCTTAAAGGTCGTCTCCGGAAGCACGGGCCTTCTGTGAGGCAATGAAACTCACAGGCGTTCAAGGACGGGGTTCCTGTGGGCCTCCCAGCCTCTGGGGTGGCTCTTGCTCCTTTCCTTCCTCGCTGCTGGGCCAGAAGGAAGCTGAGCCCAAGCCCTGGGCCAAGAGGTCTGGCTCCAAGCCACGGGTTTATGAAAAGCAAGAACTATCCTGCCCCACTCAGACACGTGACTGCCTTCACTTTTGAGGGGGGCCCTGGCATTTCATTAGTGCCCTGTGTGAAGCCTGCCCTTTGCAAAGCAGAAAACGAAGAGAAGAAAGCAAGCATGGAAGCAGACTCAAACAATCTTCTGGTGTCCGGAGCTTCTGATGTCTCTTTGTGTCTTCACTCATTACAAGGGTGGAAGAGCTTGACAGGCAAGAAATCATGCCTGGTCTTTATACTTTAATGGAACCTAGGGACCAATTAACCACACTGAGCACCAACGGGCAAAGCACTTTTTCAAGGAAGAGGAGAGATCTCTTATATTATTGCTTCTTTTTTCCCTCTTTCCCCAAATAAAAGACAAATGCCATGTCAACAGCTTCTCAGGAGCGATCCTTTATTTTCTGAAAGTCCCAACACTGACCCACTTATCAAAACATGACGGATACCCCCGTCCACAAACAGTAGCCTTTTCTCTCCCGCAAATCCCTGGAGCCCTGAGTGGCGGCGGCCTGGTCCAGGCAGTGGCCTCAAAACCTGCCCTCTACACCCAGCAGCTGCACCGTGGCCTCCTGCACTGCCTGGTGCACGTGCCGGACCTCTCTCTGGGACAGGGTCCGCTCCATGTGGCGGTACGTGATGCGGTAGCAGTGGCTGGTCTTGTGCGTCCTGGGGAGCGAAAGAGAAAGGCAGGTGAGTGAGGGACAGGCGTGCCCGCTGCCTGCAGGAGCCATGCTGGTGGCCCCGAGCAGGTCGACCCCAGAGGGGAGCTGAGGATCGGATCTAGGGGGGAGGGAGACATCACTCGCCGCAACAGCCTGCACCTCTTGTGTGTAGCGTGGGAAGTGGTGTTAGGGGAACACGGACTTGAACAAACAAGACAGCTGCTTCCCACCGGCCCAGATGCACTCAAGTCCCCGGGGGAAGGGCACTTCTTAGGGGTCTCCGAGCCCTGGAGATTATGGTCCAGCAGGCGGGATGCGGGGTCTGGCTTCTGGGTTTTCCGTTGGCTCCCCAGGGGACTCTGAGAAGGAGACAGGGTGAGGAGCCGAGGCCGGTATGCCTCCACCCTTCTCACAGCACAGGAAACAATCATGTGTGGAAGGCACACCAGGGTCCCAAGGCCGGGACTGTCCCGGAAGGCTGAGAGAGATCACTCTCTTCACACCCCTGTAGGCCACATAAAGCATACAATTGTGCCAGACAGACATGCTTCCAAGGTCTAGGTGGTGGGCCCTTTTGCAGAACTTGGTCTCCACAGAGGCACGTGACAAGCCACAGATGCTCTGAGGACGAGAGGCTTTCTCCACAGGCCTCTGTGCTGCAGACACACCAGACGGCCTCCCGGTGCTGCTGGAAGGACAAGGCCTGCTCTGCTGGGGCCCTTAAGAGACCGTCCACTGCAGAAGGACAGCCCAACGGTGCCCTCCTGCACTGGGCCTCTGGTGGCTGTGGGAAGCCCCTGCTCAGCTTCCCCCGGGTGCAGAACACAGGCTTTTCTTCCAACCTGATGTCACCAAGAAAGGACGTGGCAACATCCCGACTGTCTGACAGATAGAAGGTTCTGGAAGAGGAGCAATGAGTTAAGGAGGGAGAAGGAGAGTGGAGGAGTTGTAGATGCCTGAAGATGATGCAAACATTTATGAGAACAAGTGCAGCCTCACAATCTGGAGGCCCAGATTGTCAGTGACGTGGGGACCGTGGAAGGGTGCGATGGTTTCCTGTGTGTGGGGGGAGGGTGCACTTAGCCCTGCAAGAGGACCCTGTGCCAGCCCTTCTAATTCCCTGCCTGAGGGAGGGACACAGAGGCCCCTTCTGAGCACAGGGTCCTAGCACTGGCCCCTCCATCTCTGGGCCTCGACACACCTTTCCTGGTCTTTGTTCCTTCTCTGTTGAAAGAGCTAACAGCATAGCACCTTACTCCACCAAGCTCTCCAAACGGTTGTAGAGACCTGTCTAGAAAGTGACAGGGCTCTGCAAATTATGAAGTGCTATATGAGTGTGAGGCCAGAGGATCCTGGTGGCAACTGTTAGTACACGTTCTCATCAGTTCACTCTGGCGTCTCTTACTTAGCTTAAGAGTTGGTAATATGGCCGCTCGACAAGCCGAGATTTCCAACCCGAGATGAATGGGAAATTTATCATCTTGCTTCTATGTGCTTTGGAGAAGGCCCCCATCAGGATTCGTGGGATTCAAACAGCTTTTAGAAAACATTTCGATGAGTGAGGCGTAAATGAATCATAAACATATGGATTAATTTTATAAATTGAGAGAAATAAAATTGGCAGAATATTTGGTGGTAATTCAGTAGATTCAGCTGAAAATCAACCAGTTTTGCCTTTTCCTTACATTACTGGTGAGAGAGAGAAGACTTACTTTTATTTGTTTTCTAGGAACTCTTTTTTTTTTTTTTTAAAGATTTCATTTATTTATTTGAGGGAGAGAGAGAGAGAGCACACATGAGCCGGGGGAGAAGCAGAGAGAGAGGGACAAGCAGACTCTATGCGGAGTGTGGAGCCCAATGCGGGGCTCAATTCCCTGACCCTGAGATCACAACCTGAGGTGAAATCAAGAGTTAGATGCTTAACCGACTGAGCCACCCAGGTGCCCCTCTGTTTTCTAGGGACTTCTTTTTGGAGCTTTTAGTTGTTGGGACACCCTCCTGCCCTCCTTGTGCTTGCTGGAGAACTGGAAGAAGTGGAGTTGGTGTTGGTCATGAGTTTCCTCAGCCTTGAGGAGCGGGATCTCCACAAGAACCACAGAGTTACAGAGCAGAGTGAACTTGTGGCTTATCACTGAGTAGGTATGAAGACAGACTCTCTCAAAGGAGGGATGCCCTCAGTGCCAACTCCAACTATGCAAATTAGAGCTCCCATGATTCTTTTGTACCACCCAATGTGGACCTTTTTAGTCAGAAACTTCTCAGTCTTGTATCTGCCATGGCCCTCACTATCTCTCAGTAACAGCAGCAGGAAACATTTCTGTAGTGAGTCTTGCATACTGGGCACCATTCCAAGCCCTCTGGAGGTGTTCACTCCTGGAAGCATCCAAACCCCATGGAGTACATAGCATTACTGTCCTGGTTTATACTAATGAGGAAACCGAGGCACGGAGTGCAAAGTAACTCGCCCAACTTGAAACAACTACTAAGTGGCAGGGCTGGGTTTGAAACCAGGCAATGTGGCAGGAATGTAGATGGTAGAGCCACTGTGGAAAACAGTCTGGTGGTTGGTTCCTCAAAGGGTTAAACAGAGGATGACCCTATGACCCAGCCACTCCACTGCTAGGCATATACCCAAAAGAACTGAAAGCAGGTGTTCAAACAAACATTTGTATGAGAATTTTCACAGCAGCTCCACTTAAAACAGCCAAACAGGGGATATGGCCATCAGTGGATGAATGGATAAACAAAATATGGTATATCCACACCATGGAGTATTATCCAGTCCTTAAAGGAATGAAATGCTGACACCTGCTGCAGTGTGAATGAACCCCCAAAAGCAGGCCAAGTGAAAGAAGCCAGGCACAGCAGACCACGTACTGCATCATTTCATCCACATGAAACATCCGGAAGAGGGCAATTCATACAGACAGAAAGCAGACTGGTTGTTTCCAGAGGGTGGGGGAAGGGAATATGGGCATAAACAGCTTAATAAATTAGTAAAGGGGCCGGGAGGCTAGAAGGGGAGCCTAGATGGAGGAGCCCTTCCATTGAATGTCAGTTACAGGAAGAACTGACAACCACAGACTCCAATAGAAGTGTCCATTATTACAGACCCCGGCAGAAGGGTCTCGCCAGTAAACAGTCATCAGTGACAGGCCCCCACGGGCAAAGATTTACATCGCATCTCCTTCAAGAGACCCACCACCTGCGGGTCAGAAAAACTCAGCTACTGAGAAACCATCATCATCCCAAACTCTCACTTCTCTCCAATGGACTTTTTCCAAAACAACCCCTCTCAACTCCTCCTTATTCCTCATAAAGAAGAAGATGAATGGGAAAAATTTATCCCTCTCAACTTCTCCTTCTTCTCTTTCATTTGTGGGACTTGCCTATGGTTGTGTCATAGCTGGCTTGTTCTGGACTATAATTCTCTTTTATTCCCAAATAAACACATTGTTTGCTGGGAAGATCACTGGCCATTTTAAGGTGAACAGTGGGTATGAGGCTTTCTTCTGGGGTGAAGGAAATGCTTTGGAACTAGGTAGGTAGTGTGGGTGCCTAACATTGAGAATTTACTAAATGCCACTGAACCGCCCACTTTAAAAATGGTTAACTTCCACCTCATTACAAACACACACAATCTAGGGAATTTGGTTTCAGAGCCCAAGTATTAAGTACCATGCCTCAGTGCTCCAGCATATTCCTCCTCTCTTCCTGTTCCACCCCCAGTGGTCTCCTCACAGATTCCTTTAGTCTGTCCACAAACAGCATGCTCTAGGCACTGAGCTGGACAGAGATAAGCAAGTGAGGAGAATCCCGACCCAACCAGCTCACATCCAGGGACTGGTGGTCTGCCAAGGTCCTTCTGTCACCGGAGAGGAGCCCAATGGAGAACCATTTCCCTCATGGCCGTGAGGGGCCTGGTGCTTGCCGTGTGAGGTCAGCCATGCTGCACTCCCACCTCACATGCTCCTTTAGCAAACGATTCTTCCCTCTGGAGCTTTGTTGTGAGCAAATCTGTGGTGAACACACAAGGTGTGGGAGGCAGGAGACCTAGCTCCCAGTCAAGCCCCAGCAATGTCTATGTGGCCTCCCCAGTGAGAGGCCTAGACTGAATGGGCCCAAAGCTCCTTCAGGGTCTAACTTTCCAAGAGTTAGTGCAGAGAACAGAGGAGTTTCTAGAGTAAATGCACATGTGGAGGAAATGAGCCAGCCAGCGAGCAGTATGTGTGAGCCTGGATGGAATGAATCTGGGGCAATTTCCAGACAGGCTGACGCGTGGACACAAGATGCATTAGTGATATTAGTGATCAAAGCAAGAGGAAGGAAGTTGGCTTAATGGGTTGGATTATGGCTTGAAAGAGCCCACTAAGAAAGTCTTCCTGTAGAAGGTAGACCTCGAATTGTAATAGACACTCTGGACACCTTTTAGCCTCTCTTCACAAACTACCCTCCCCCCAACTCCCACCCAATACTCTCCAGAACTAAGAGGTTTGCCTTTCTCATTCTCAGAACAGTAAGTCTTAGGCCCAAGGCTCCCTGGTAGGCCACTCGGAGCAGGGCCCTCCCCCCAGTTCCTATCCAGCCAGCATCAGAGCTGCCTCTCACTGCTGTTGCTGCTATGGTTCTTCCCAGAGTGATTTCTGTTCCTGGGAGTCAGTCACAAGAAACCAAACCAGATGGTTCCTCTGACAGTTACTGCCTTGGGAAAGACAACTCCAATCCAGGCCTTGATGGAGGGAGAGTCAGAGCCAGGGAGAAAGGGACTTGCTGGGTGCAGCTTGAGTAGAGTTGCTTTCAAACCTGCCTCCCCCACCTACCACCCCGGCTCCCAGTCAGCTTGCATGTTGGCAACTTGAGAGCTCCTCAGAGACACACATTTTGCCGGCAAGAAATGCTTTTTCATATCAAACACTTGTCAAGTCCTCAGGGAAGTTTCAAAGCAACCCCAGGGATTTATTCACATCAATCCCTGTAATTTCTCCTGGTACTTCCCAATGAGGG